TGAGAGAACCTTACCGAGGCAAAAACCCAGAGCTCCAGGAGAGAGCTTTACCGGGGAGAGAGTATTATACCAGGAACCCCACAGGGGAAACCCCCCCCCTCCCCTCTCTCGAGTTTGCTCCTCTCTCCTAGTATTTTTATGCTCGAAAAAAGGACAGACAAACCTAAAGACACCTCCTCCATACCCATATTGTGGAAACTGTTAATAAAAATAAATTACATACCCCATTGAATAATGACTGAAGATTGTCAGCTGTCTTCCTCTCCCTTGTTGTTCCTCGATACGTAAAGGCTGCAGCACCGTTGACAACTTCTCTCTACATATCAAACATTACCGGTAAACCAGCATCGTTTGCTGTTGGAAAGCATATAACTCTGTCCACACCGATTTAAATCCCTGTGGTTCCTCCGGTACTTTTCTTTGATTTATCCATAGTTCGCTCATTCGAGCCGGGGGGTCCCCGCGCGAGCGCCTCGAAGAAAAGGCGGCTCGCGAGGGACCGTAGCAGGATGTGACGCATATTTTAGTTGACCTAAACTAAAACTGTTTTGTTTTTTATTTAGTGTCACAGTATCACCTCAAAATACAAGACACACGAAACATTTTCAACCGTGGCGACAAAATTATAATAAGTCCTACAAATACTTTTTATTTTATTTCCTTCCTTATTGTTTGTCTAAGCTCAAGGGAGCCAGAGCAGAGGGCTTAAAGGGCCGCATGCGGGCCCGTGGGCCGCGGGTTGCCACCCCTGCACTAGCCCTAACCCTAACACACCTGTGCAATAATCATGCTGTCTAATCAGCATCTTGATATGCCACACCTGTGAGGTGGGATGGATTATCTCGGCAAAGGAGAAGTGCTCACTATCACAGATTTTTTCAGATTTGTGAACAATATTTGAGAGAAACGTTTATTTTGTGTATGTAGAAAATGTTTTAGATCTTTGAGTTCATCTCATGAACAATGGGAGCAAAAACAAAAGTGTTGTGTTTATATTTTTGTTCAGTGTATTTGATTATAATTAACTTTTTTTTTAAGTATTCAACCTAATATGGAGATCTCAACAATATATACATATTGGCACACATATATATATTTTTTTATATGCATTTATTGTTATATTCGGGATTGTGGGAAACACTATTTCGATCTCTCTGTCTGTACACACAAACTGGAAGATTGACAATAAAGTTGACTTTGACTTTGATACTCACTGCAGGACACACACAGCCAAACACACTAACAAACAAAGAATAATCACATACACCAAGAGATAAAAACATTTTGTATGTATTGTTTATTTGATAGTATGAAGTCCTGAACAAGCTTGGCAGGATTTATATTTCATGTAAATACATTCTGAAATGCACATGCAGATATATTCGTTTTTAAGAAGCTAAAATTACTTGAACTATAGAACAAAATACAAATGTAAAGCCTATATAAAAGTATACGTGATTAGTATAATGGAAAAAAAATTATGTTTCCATAGCATTTCCACAAAGAAGCTACACTCACCGTTTTCAATATATTTCATGATGCATTTTATGAACTTATTTGACACAACAATATTGCTTATTACATATTAAAGTAATATATTACTAGAACTTTACTGTAGAAGATATTTATGTTAATTGTTGGAATGTCATATTATTATGATAGATATATCATGCAGTATTATTCTAGACACTTAGGGTTGGTGATTAGATGCAGAAGGTTGTATATAAGGGCGCATAGTTGACAGGAAAGGGACAGCACAGGTAGAGGGCGCGTACACAGCTCTCACAAGATCTACAGACTAGAAACACTCACTTGCAGAATTGGAAAATCTCTTAATGTTCAACAATTAAGAGGCCATGCCATTGCAATTACAATACTTCTTTGTACGGTTACACTATGGCTGTTCAAGTGATCGATACAGTGATCGATACAGTGTTATGTGTTATTTGGACTACCCATGTTGTAAATGTATTATCTCTTTGATTTACACACGGCATCTATTGCACGTCTGTCCGTCCTGGGAGAGGGATCCCTCCTCTGTTGCTCTCCCTGAGGTTTCTCCCATGTTCCCCTTAAACTGTGGGTTTTTCCTTCTTTGGAAATGTGTCCTTGTACGATGTGAGGGTCTAAGGACAGAGGGTGTCGTATTGTCATACTGATATTCTGTACAAACTGTGAAGTCCACTGAGACAAATGTAACATTTGTGATATTGAGCTATATAAACAAACATTGATTGATGAGTGAACATTAATATTAAAGGCCGATTAAAATGTGTAACGTGACATAGCACAATGTAGTATATTAATTACAATGCATAGTGTCTGCCCATTTTAAGTTAACATTGATAATAGTAATATATGATTGCAGACTCTTTATTGAGCATAGCATAACTTTCTGTCATTAATCAGAAATACATTATGATTAATGATTTCCCCCTGGGGGTTCATGTTGAAGTTGAACCCTCGACCCCCCTCTTAAAAATAACAATAAGTTTTGTTTAAAACTTTGGTTCTGACCAACCAACCTACACTACAGATGCGAGACTGACTACAGATGCGTTAAAGAACATGTTAATTGAAGGAATGTTCTAATCAAGTCAGCCTTCAGACAGGTTTTAAAGTTTGTCAAAATGTGTTGCTACTGTATGATCAATATAAAGTGGGAAGTATGGTGCAGTGGATAGAGCCTTGGTGTTGGGACCAGAGGGTCACACGTTAAAGCCCCACTACAGTCAGCATGTCGTTGTGTCCCTGAAAAACGTCTAACAAGTAACATGTAATGTGTAGATGATTAGGTAGGTAGTCATTATTGGGGTTAAAGTCCCCTCGTAGGTGGTTGAAGTCCCCTACGTGTGCCGTTTTGGTTTCAAGACCCTGGTTTGCGGAGGACACCAAAAAAGTCCTAGAAAAGACAACTTAAACTTAACTAATGTGCATTTAAAGAAAAAATGAATAGTTTTGGCGAAAACTAAAAAGGTACCATGGGGTACAGAAATCCGTTTTGGTTTCAAGACCCTGGTTCACGGAGGATACCAAAAAAAGTCCTAGAAAGACAAGGTAAACTTAACTATATGCATTTAAAAATAAAAAAGAGGAATAGTTTTGGCGAAAACTAAAAGGTACCATGGGGTCAGATTATAGTTTTCCAAAGGGGGGTTCGTTTAGCATGAAACACTTGAAATAACTAAAGGACAAGTTAAACAAGAAAGTCGAAAGAAAGTGAGGTGATAGAAAACTATTTCTGCTAAAAAGTTATCAATGATTGAGAGTCAGACCTAAACATTTCAGATGTGTATCTCACACTGCACTGTAACTTTAATTCATGTGCCTTTGCTTTTAAATTAGTGTTTTTAAATGTCATTTCATAATATGTTTCTTAATGTCTTTCATTTTTGTAAAGCACTTTGAATTGCCTTGTGTTGAAATGTGCTGTATAAATAAACTTGCCTTGCCTAGGGTTAGCGATTGAGATATTCTGGATTTGGCCCTGACCTGTCCATCACTGCTTGCACTAGGTGGACTCGCA